TTTACTCTATATAATCAGCAGAATCTGGCCAAAAATTTGCCTTAAACCAGTTCAACCAGTTTCACGTTATTTGAAGCAGCACAATTCATGAGAAAATACCTCCTACAGACCGGACAAATGTGCATTTGGATGCATATTATTATTCAATTATTAGGACTTACTACAGTGACATTAAAAAAAATCTTAGCCAAGCAAAGCATAAAGTGAACGTAAATGATGGACTTCAGTTTTAACTGCATTTTCAGTGCTAGTTTCTCATGTAAGCAGTAAAAATGCCTCAGAAAAACCACAAGGGATGAAGCATGAAATTGTAGCACGCAGTTTTCTGAAGCAGGCACAAGAGCTTAACACACTGGAGCTGATTTCTGTGTCAACTTTCATTCCACACAGATTAATGCTATTTTGCATAGCTGAAGCACCAACTCTATGCATATATTTGGCAGTGCCATACATATCCAGTTTCCTCAAGCTTTCTGTAATACAAGGTGGCCACACACATTGCAGCTTCTCATTAAGTTTATCAGATTTAAGTTATTCTGTGAGCCTTTCACTAATTAAAAGGCTCAATCATTTTCAGCTGGATTTTTTCTTCAGTCTAGTGAGTTTCTCAATAATATACAAATTTACGTATCACAAATATACACAGGAGTTCAACTATCAGCCTGGATTTCCTTGGGTTTTTTTTTTACTTTGCCACTGGGAAAAAAAAAAAAAATCCCATTTTCCCTGCCTTCTGATAGTATTGGTTCCTTTACTGACCACTGCATTAAGAAGTTAATAATATAAACATCAGGATTCACCAGCATCACATGCTTGCACTTGCTAAGCACGTTTTTTTTCTTCACCTTGTTAATGGAATGTGGAGTCCACTTCTGAGGAAAGAGATTCTATTTATGTGATTTTGCAAACTTTATGAAAAAGAAAATCCCACACTTTCTTCAAGGTTTTGCTAAAATGGACTCATAACACTTTTTCAGTATCAACAGATCTCCACAGGATTATTTTAAGATCAAAAATCAAAACACAACAGAAAGCAGATTGTTAATATGAAGTTTCAAATAGTTAATTTCAAAAAGTTAATAGTTTCTTTCAAAACATTACACAGCTAAGTCAGCAGCATCAAGTATTCTATAGTGTCTTCTTGTTCTAAGAATGACAAAAATGCAAGAGCTCGCCCAACTTTATAGTGAGTCATCTTGAGGCAAAATCCCTTAACATGAGGAATAAAAAACATTTCTACCTTTAAAAAATATTTGTGTGATAAACAGCTGAATTGTGTTCACTTTATTTCACTTTTTAATTGCTCTTATGAAATATGACATTCAAAGCCAGAAAAGTACTACAGCCATACATATGCTGATCCTGAAAGTAAGGCTCTCTCAGAGTTTAAAACCTCAACCAGTATATCTGGTGAAATCTCCAATTTTGGTTTGAATACAGCAGGCATATGCTTTCACTTGTTAATTACAGTTCTAAGTGCTTTCTTTTATTCTTAAATGGCCTTCCTTTCTCTTTGTATTGAGCCCATTTCTATTCTCTTTAATTATAATCAGCAAGTTACCATAAGGCAGCTGTAATCCCTGAGCTATTCTCCATTTGTCTAGACTGCAGTCTTCTCCCTTGGCCAATAAGTAAACAAGTTTGTCCCAGTACCATATTCGATGCTTTCCCAGCTCATGATTTGGTTGGTTGGTACACAGCATGGCACACTCACTCCCATGGTGAGAAACCAAGCCAAGAGCTGGCAGAGCACTGACTTGCTTCTTTTCATGTTACCCACCTCGTAGGCTGTTGCCCTAACTTGCTTACCATAAATGCTATCTACATATAAGAAAATAAACAAAATTCTAGATCCACAACAAAATACACACCATGCAGTTTGATGACTCTTTGAGCTTGGTCTTCAGGCAATTGCCTGAGATAACAGACTTGGGCCCCAATTAGACTATCATCATATATCATATATATTCTAGAAGCCTTCCAATATCTGAAGGCGGCCTACAAGGCTGCTGGAGAAGGACTCTTAATCAGGGACTGTAGTGATAGGACAAGGGGTAATGGGCTTAAACTAAAACAGAAGTTTATGTTAGATATGAGGAAGAAGTTTTTTACTGTGAGGGTGGTGAGGCACTGGAACAGCTTGCCCAAAGACATGGTAAATGCTCCATCCCTGGCAGTGTTCAAGGCCAGGTTGGACAGAGCCTTAGGTGACATGGTCTGGGGCAAGGCGTCCCTGCCTATGGCATGGGGGTTGGAACTAGATGATCATAGGGTCCTTTCCAACCCAAATCATCCTATGATTCCGTGATTCCATAGAAGAGGCGTACAAGAGTGGCAGTATAATGAGTATCCGAAGATGGAGATAAAGCCATGCTCTTCTTCTCCTATTTGCAGTTCATAGGCAATGAACAAATATTCCAAAAACAAAAAAAAAGTATTTTGCAGGCAACACTAGAGGTATAGGGCAAAATCAACATTCTAATTCATGTTATTTGAAGACAGCAGGGACTGGTGTTGCATTTGCCCCTCTCTAAGGCATGAGAAGACTGGAAGATATAAAATACGTGGGTACTTTGGGTTGGTTTGTTTTTTTTCTTTGTTTGTTTTTTACTGGTTGGAAATAACTTCAGCTGAATAATATGAACACATATTCATTAATGAAATCACATTGTGAAACCCCTCTTAATTTTGATTTCAACAGGATCACTTATGGATTATGGAACAATTCTTCAGCTTAAGTGCCCACTTATCTCATTTACAGCATTAGGCACTGTGTGGTAAGCCATTACAAACTTGTAACTACTGCAAAGTTCCCAATACACAAGACAGAGGTCTGAAGAGTGCCATTCTACTGTGGATGTTAGTAGTCTATGCTGCATCTTTCTGTCAGATCTTGCATGCAATCTCCTATTATGATCAGACTTAAAACCACAAAAACAATAGTCCTGATACCACTGAAATTCTGCCCAAATACACCTGAGCTGCAAAACACTAGCTTTGATTTCTTTCTGAAGAGGGTGGAAATATAGCTAGATTATATTGCTGGATTTTTCACCCATTGCTAAAGACAATGCTAGGAAATTTGAGCTCATATTAATGTTTTGATCATAATTTCATCCCTTTAAATGCAGTTTTACCACCTTCAGTCAAGAAGAAAATCAGAAATACTCTGTAATGCAATACAGCTCATTTTTCACAGTGTCAACATTTAGCCTCAGGAAAGCAAAGACCATCTAGCTAAGTAGTCTGCAAAATGATAACATTGCAAGTTCCAAAGGCTCTAAAAAAATCAGCAAGCACCTTGTTATTGTAAAGGTTCTTTGCATTACAAAAAACAGCATGCTGTTACAATGGACAGGCTGTTACAACTCTGCCAAGCAGAAGCAGATGTGGCAGGTAAGCTTTCCAATGAAAGACAAATCTCTTGGTATGAAGTCAGAATATATTAAGTGCAATTTGCTCTACGTACACATTTGCCACTAGAAAGTGTTCAAATAGCATGGAGAGAAGTCTCACAAACATTGGGTTCTCAAGGAACAACTCAATTTTAAGAACTGATGTTAATCAGTTCACAAAGAACAAACTTTCTTCAGCTTCTATTATTCCCATCACATGAAACCTTGAAACATCAAGACTGAGTATTTGTTCACCTACTAGAAGAACAACAGAAAATCATGAATGTCACCATTTCGTGACACCTGCCATGAGAAAATTATGTTATTACTAAGAAAATATAGCACCTTGTGATCCATTACCTTTACTTAGCTTTAAATTTCTCTAACCTATATCTTGGTTAAAATAAAACATTTAAGGAAAGTAAGTCAAGTGTTACAAACTGTTATCTCACTACTTCTCTAATGAAACAAAGATTTGCAAAGACATTTTCAGGAGTCCCTAGAAGTACTCTCTCTTCTGCTCTTGTCCAAAAAAATTATAAGGAGAACATGCTTTAATACCCCACTCCCAGCAACGGTAGATGGTGACAAAACTATTCAATCTGTGACAGACAGGACAAATCCCTGTTCACTGATCAGGGTGTTGATTAGGTGTGCTTCTTATGAAGCACTAACACAAGCTCAGCACACGAGCTGACAATAAACTAACTTGAAACATTTTTTCTAAGAAGTTTATTATTAAATCGACTAATAAAACTAATTTCCAATTACTCAGACAGCTATATATCACATATTAAAAAAGGTATTAAAATAACATAATATTGCCACCTGTTACCACACAGAGGAATATCTACACTCAGGAATATCCACATTAAGTACAGACTTTGGATGGAAAAAATAGGCCTGTTAATGTGGGGTTTTAGCTCCTCAAACTGTTCTTTTCTGTTGTTCTTTAAAAACAACAACAATAAAAACCCCTACATATATTTTTCCTTAAGTGAGTATATGCCAGTATTTTCAATTTGGTTTTATTCTTTCCTTGTTCATACTCCACAATCCTACAAAATAACAGTAGGAGAATTCTCATAAGTCACCTGACAAAGATCTTTGACAAACCATTAAAGATCCTGTTAAGTAGGTAGAGTCTAAACTTGACTTCTATGAAATATGTACATTAGACAAAGCATTCACATGAATAGCCTCTTACCTGGAACCTTTAAAGGTGTAGGCACCTATACATGCAAATCAAAGTTTAGGAAGTATCTCAAGATAAAAGGCTTATGAGAAATTACGTGTCAAGAGCCTGGACAAGGAATACAAAAGTAAAAATACAGAGATCCCAGGTATCTGTGTGAGCTTCTAGAATGTCACTTTCTCACTAGAATAGGCTGAGTGTTTTTTCATTAGATGCAATTACCATTTTATCAACAGGCCTCTGTAATCACCAGAAATTCTTCAAAATATAAGAAATTCATAACAAAAATAACATTCCAGGATGTAACATGGACTTTCCTCAATTAAATTCAATGTTTTTAAACTCCCAAAGTATACTTAAGTTCCTTCTCTTTCAAGAACAGCAAAAGCACAGATCTTATAGGTACTCACCTCCGTCTTCAACCATGAAATGAAAAATGTCACTGGTGGCATTGTCACCCCCTCGTAAAACATAGCATATCTTCATGTCATCAATATCAGCTAGAAAGCGTGAGGAAAAAACAGATTTTATTTTAAATGTTGAAGGCATGAAACTGTTTTTAGTTTAAAAAAAAAACCAAACATGTATTAAATTGTTTATCTTCAACAGAGAGAAGTCAAGATTTCCAGCAGAGCTCAGGAATTTCAGTATTAACAGTGTTGAAGTTTTACAGATACCATTTGTTCTTCCTCCCTTTACTTCCCCCTCCCCAGTGCCCTCTTTCATGATGTATTTACAAAAGCAACTGAAAGGAAGTGTAAAAACGTGGGCTCAACAGTCAGATCTATGTCATAATTTAGTGATATATTTTCGTAAATAGAGGTGTACGTCCTCTAAGATACTGATCCTGTCATTCTTCATCCTGAGTAGTACTGTAGAGACCACATAAAACCTGTGGCTGAAACAGGAGCAAACCCCAGGCTATTTTCTATGTGAAGTTCTACCCTTCATTCAAGAGGCAAGACAAATTAGTTCACACTCATACCACCCTACTTCCCCACCCCCAAACTAGATTACTTCTGGCATGTTTTCTACCCCTAGGATAGGATATCTTTACACATTCTGCAGAAGAGAGCTCTCAGTGTCTTTAGTCCCCCACAAAAATGCCCTCTCCACCAGACCATCCCTCCTATCAGCATGTTTTCAAAGGATATGACATATAATCTATATGAACTGCCATAAATAGTGCTCAGACACAGTGATTGGCTGATTTAGGAATTCAAACAGATACAATGTAAGTAGACAGATAAGACTTCAGTAAGAAGCAATTCAATGCACAATTCTGAATCATCAGTTGCATAAAAAAGTATGTAAAAGGTAAAAAAGTATTTCTTAATATTGTGCTTTCTGGTTTCCTTGAACAGTGATAAGAAACATGTAATACATAAAAAATACTTTTTGACATTTTCTTTGAAAGACTGCTGTCAGAAAAAATCCATGTCTGATAGTTTTTTAAAGAAAAAGTGCTATAAATTAATAGCATTAAAGTGGAACTCAAGTACCATCCAAGTTCTCCTCTCATGTTAGGGCATATGCATTAGTAAAAAGAAGCTAAAAGCACTTTTGTCAGAGCTCCTCAAAATCTTGAGTTCCAAAAGCAGGCAGACATCTTCCAGGGCAAACAAGTTAAGAGCATTATCAGCAAATACATGTCCCTGAAGAATCTCTTTCATAAATGTTTCAGTTAAAGATCAAAAATTCACAGGGCTATAAAGAGGATGCAAACAAATACCTCTTCATGTCAGCGGAGCAAATAAATCTTTCATCCTGCAAACATACAAGTGCTCAGCTCTGCCGATGAGGGCAGCCTTCTCAAAATCTATGGTTCCAATACATATAAAGATATATTGGCTCAACACTCTTGAGCCAGTGCTTGGCAGACCAGGACCACCACATCAGAAAAAGCCACTTGACATCCAAACACCTAAATTTTGTCAAAAGAATTTCAAAGGAATGACCTGTTTTCTGTTCACTAAGAACACGTTCACAGTCACTTGAGCAATTCTACACTTTCCTTCCACGGTTGATTTGGGTTATACAAGTTATATTAGAGCTTGCCTCATTGTAAGCACAATTCGTTGCTGTATAATTACAGTGCCTGCTAAATATTGATATGATACTGAAATTCTCCAGCATAATTTTGAAATCCATCCAACATAATTCCTATCAAAAAAATAATTTTATCTCCGCTGGATCAAGGCACTGATTTCCTGTTTGAAAAACCTGCAAAACTGATGTGGTTATTAAAGGTTACACATATTCTTTAAGAAACAAATGCACTTTGCAACATAATTCACTCATCTCCCTGAAAACAACTGCCTGAAAAACAAGATAAAAAGTATTATCAAGGTGAATGCTGAATAAAATCACTGTTTGCAAAGTTTTGCATATTTGGCTGAAGCAGCCATTTAGATATTTTTGGCCTCAGGAGGCTACATGAGTGCTGAGACATTGACCAAGCTGTATTATTGCCAAGGCAGAGGCTTACTCTCCACTATTTCTTCCTGGCTCCTCAGCACACCTGCACAGCTCTGGGATGTGACCTGGCCCTTACTCACAAACTTACCCACATGGGACCTGGGAGTCACAAAACAGTGCTCAGCAGTCCGTCACACTTTGTACATTCAAAACATCATACAAACATCAGCTATCTGTTATATACCACTAAATTTTTCAAATGTGAAAGACTTGCCAGTTCCTTAGCAGACTCTCTTCACTTTTAAACAAATTATCTAATCTTAATGGATATCTGCTATGAGGAAATTCCAGCCCTGACTTGCAGAGACAACTGCAGTACAATTATGCATAGAATATCCTTTGTATGTTTGCTTTGTTCTAGGACAGCATTAGACAAGAAATTACCATGTGGCAAGCATTTTTCTTTAAGCTTTCTCTGCATTTACTATTACTAACTACAAAGCACAAAGAAATAATTAACACTGCTGCTTTCAGATGTAACATGAAATGACAGATAGGAATTGAATAATCTCAGGAACTGCTTAACATATTTTAAGAGTATTTTATTTTGTTACTGTCATTTGCCTGCCTCTTTCTCATTCAGATTATTTCAACAATTAAATAAAAATAAATAAAAAGCACCAACTATTTGAAGTATTTGGGGACCTTTTATCAAGAAGTTAATCCTTCCACACTCTAATACCCCCTTTGACCAATCCAAATTAACTCTAGGAGTCTCAGAAGCAAAAGATTTTCTACTGTACTTGTGGCATAAGTATTTAATGCATGCTAATTAGGAAGACCCAGACTGATTGTTCCTGAACAAACTACACAAAAAATCGCATGGACATACTACATTCTGCACAAACACATTTTGACTGGAGGCTTTTAGCTCATCTTGCAAATCTAGGATGACTTCCTTCCTAGCACTTGATAATGTTTTGTGGACAGATACTGAAAAGCAATCTCAAGCATGAAGCAGAAAGCTGTTTACTAAACAATCACTCTGCCCACTCTTTCCACTACAGCCAATCTGAAAAACCAGACTGCTCAAGCTGCTTGCACACAATGGATCTTATTTCATCAATGTTAACCTAACTCAAAGTGTCCCTGCCCATGGCAGGGGGGTTGGAACTAGATGATCTTAAGGTCTTTTCCAACCCTGACTGTTCTATGATTCTATCATTCTATGATTAGGCTGCCTGTTCGTACAACCACAAGCCCAAACCCAGGGAATGTGAGATGGAAAAGTATTAGGATGGACTTCCCCAGCTATTGAGTAGCTTTCAGAATTCACCTGCATGTGACCCTTAACAGCTTCATCCAACTCCAAAGTTGCCAAGTTTTGAGTACGGGCTGGATCAAACAACTTTCAGAGGTCTCTTCCAACATAAATTGGAGGACTGTAACAATGTTTATGAAACTAGAGCTGTTCAGAATTTTGTAAGAGGTTGTCCCACGTGGCAGGATGAAACCCCTAAAAACTTGGGAGATCAAAACAAAAAAAAGCAAGTGTGTAACAGCAAGTCCTAATATAGGTGCATCCCAAAATCAATACTATTAATCATGACTGACTACAAATTCTGATTTATATGCAATGGTTGTAAGCGGATGAGTATCATTAAGGATATTACAAAAAAGGGTCTTTTTCACTTCTGCCTTAAATGTTAGTTAATTATTTGTCTTAGTATAGCATAAGCATGAAATACACATAAATTCATGAATCTTGGATTTGACAGTGCTTTACACATTAATGGTGGTTAGCCACAAGGTGAGGGAGAACAGTAAACTAAGCAGAGTTTTGAGTATGAAGCTTGGTCTATATAAGACCTCTGCATCTCACATTACTTCTCAAAATTACAGTCTTCTAGATTCAGACAAGAATTTTTGTCTTCCTGCCCCTCATAGCCTCTCGCATACCCAAAGCGGCTACAGACAAGAGGGCATCTGAGGAAAAAGGAAAAGACACTCCCCTTTCAATCCATGACTTTCACTTCCAGTAAATTCTCTTTCCTTCAGCAGATGTATGATCCCTGTGTGAGCTTGATACCTTCTGCTTTTCATGAAGCCTTTCCAGACACCTTTTTTCCCTCAAGTGTTTAGCCCTTCATTCATAAGACATTTTTATGTGTTTGCTTCATAAAATACAAACCATCTTAAAAAGCATTCAGGAAGTTGAAGACAGATTTCACAGAAATAACACAGATGCTCGGGAGGTATTTGCTTATAGAGACCAAAGGACAAAATTACTGAAGAAATGTGTATTTCTTAAAAACACTCTTCAGTTCAGCACTAATTAGAGTGCTTGTGTCAGTACTGTCAGAGGACCTGTGAAGCTGTATCACTTTATTGAGATCCTCACTAGCTTTCAAACCATTCCTTTCCTAAGGGTTGCAAGCTTCTCACCCAGCTCAGGCATACCCAGAATATTAAGACACCCTGTGTGGAGACCAGTGAGCCTGACACACAGTCAGACTGCCAACTGAAAGCCTCAGTGGTGCCACATGGCAAAAAAAGAGAATGGAACATGTACCTCTACTGAGAGACCCCCTTTCAAAACAAAAAAAAAATAGGAATATCACTGTGCTATGCAGTGGTCTGCTTTCAAGGACCATCCACTCAATAATAATAATTCTACATCCTCCAATGTAAGAGAAAACCCACTGAAAAAAGTGATAATCTGCTTATTTGCTCGCTCCCATTCTCTTCTGTTTTTCACATATTCTGACAACACTCTTAATACTACCTGCAGTTCCCTACTGAAGCCTTACACTTAAGGAACCTTGGTGGTTCCCAAAGTTTAGACATTGTTTGGTCCCTTCTCATCCTCTTCATAGCATTAATGCTGCAAAACTTACAGCAGTCCAGCCATTCAGAAGTTCATCATGCCTGTTCACAAGATTTGGTGTTATCTGACAAGGACATCACTACAGCCAAGACTGTAACATGGAATACATACTGGTATGGGCTCTGTGAAAAAATACAGCCAACTACAAGTATTCATCTCCAGCCTTACCACCTGCACAGGCCAGCCTGTCTGGGCACCTTTAGTTTTGAGTCCTCATACTGTTCTGCTGTTTGCTCTCTCCACAGCTGCAGAAGCCTCCAAGAAACCTTATTTCACTGTTAATCAACCTGCTATTAACTCGTTGCAAAGTAACATGGAAAATTCTCTGGAGAATAGCTAATGTTCTCTTTTCAATTAGAGTTACATTATATCTTTGTGCTGAGGCTTTATTTTAGAACATACAGCACATGCGGTTTTCATCCTACTTATACCACTCAGTATTTTAGTTCCATATACAAAGGAGCACTGATATAAATTTAAAACATTTGCATTACCTTTTAATTTACCACAAACACTTTGAGGTTAAGATTTGTGTAATTAAGTCAACAAATGCACTTGTAATACATTATTTCCCCATGTTTGGGAGTGATTTTGCTTTTACAGTTAACTGCATTCAGACTGTATAGCAACTGATATCCTCGCTGTGGTATGACCATTAGTTAATAATAACTTGGCCATTCCCATTGCATTCCCTAAATAAAACTGTTTAAACAAGGCACACAGACTCTAAAGATCTGAAACCACATGCAGCCCAATTCTGTTATCCAAAATTCTATCGATAAAAAGTCTAAACCACAGTTCTTTGGGCTGTAAGCTTTCCTAAACAAAGATGCTCCTTATTAGATGTTTATCTAGCAGACACTCTTTCCTGTTTAAAGCTGTCACAGGTACAATAACTAATAAACAGAACTGAAAAATAATGCAGCCATTATAAATAAGCTCACTATTGAAAAGTTTTTCCCATCAATTATTACAGAGTTTAGCATGAAAAATAACATTTCCAGCAATCTATAGAAAGCATGGAGTATTGTAATACCTTGGGTGAACTGGCTGATGCTATGGTTGCCTTTCCCCAGATGGATCAGGAAGCCATGGCGTGGACCCTCTGTGATTCTGATCTTAAGAGTAACATGTAAACTGTCCCTGTCTTCCACTTTGAGCACTTTGTTGGTAATCAGAAATCCGATGTGACCTGTGGCCAGAGCACGGAGAGTCTGAGCACCCTTATTTATTACAATTTGAGGTACACTGTTGTCCACAGCCATTATTCGAATCTTCATAGTCTGAGGTTTCCTTGTTTCAAACACAGTGTTGGGGAAGACATAGAAATCAGTATGAGTGCTGTCTGTAACAGTGAAAGAGAAGCTATCCTCAACTGATTCTGTGCCATCATGTTTGTAGCTGATTAGATTTTCGTTTAGATCTTGCTTAGTGAAGCTGGTGACGGGTTTGGAGTTATTGAACATGATCTGACCGTGAACTGGTATTTGAGTGATGATAAATTTTAGCAATGCATCAGGTGTATCTCTGTCTTCTGCAGTCAGTTCAAATGGGGTTATCAGTTTGCATTCATTTTCACTCACCACCAGGTTGTTGATTGTGACGACAGGTTTCTTATTGTCCACATCGCTGATAGAAATCCTGAAAGTACGAAATACAGGGTTATAGCCATCAGTCACCTCAAACTCAAAGCTGTCCATTTTCACCTCATCTTCTGAAGTGTGAATGTAATAGACTTTATTGCCTGCTAATAAGAGTTGAGTAAAAGTTGAGATAGGTACCCCAGGCTGATCTGTGCATTCAAGATGACCACGAACAGGTGCTCTGGTAATAGTGAAAACTAAGTTCTCATCTGGACTATTCAGGTCACTGGTGCTAAGCAAATCAGTAGTTAGGGTTACCTTCCCTCCTTCTTTCAAAGAAACCCCTTTGCTGACTACATCTGGGAAGACAATATCAATGCTACCTATCGTGACATAAAAGTAGCGGTCAATGAGTGGATTTATTCCATCTGTCACATCAAACTTGATAAGATCACGAACTCCTCCTTGGCCAAAATGCATATATTGAATTAAGTTTCTATCCACTTCATCTTGGGTGAAATTCATCCCCAGGGTGATATTCTCAACTCCACCTGAAGGCTTGATTTTCTGCAGGAGGCCTTGTCCTGGCCCATATCTTATAATGTATGTCAAGGTTTTGTCTTCAGAATCCAGGTCAGTAGCCTTCAATATTCTGTTATGAATAGTTCTAGTTTCTCCTATTTCAATCTCCAAACCATCATTGATGGCCATTCTGGGTGTCTCATCATCTACAGGAATAATCATGATGAGTACTGTTTTCCTAATGGTATGTTTACCATCTGTGAGTGTCACCTCAAAACTGTCCTCCTTTGTCTCAGAGTCATCATGTTCATAGAGTATGTTGGAGCTCTCTGTTATCTGATCCAAAGTGAAGCTCTCCACTACGACAGTTCTATTCACCAGCTGGTTCACAATGTGGCCATGCCTAGGAAGCCTGACGACTGCAAACATTAATTCATCAGCAGGGATGTCTGCATCAGCTGCATTGAGAATAGGAGTATCAACAACCAGGCTCATGCCTTCCATCACAACAAACTCTCGCACAAATATTTCAGGCTCTTCATCATTGACTGGCATAATAACAATGGGGAAAAAACGCTTTGCAGAAAAGTTAATGCCATCAGAACAGCGGAAAGCAAATCTGTCTTCAACAGGCTCAACACCCTTATGTATACTTTGGACATAAAAAATATGTCCTTGACGGAGGTCTTTCAAGGTAAAAGCACTTATAGCTACACCTGCTCTGGATTTTTCAGATCCTGGGGCTGGAGATATGTTCTCTACGTACCCAGATGCAGGCTGAGCAACAATGGTGCAAAGTATATCATCATTAGGAGTATCCACATCTTCAGCCCTGAGGTGAGCAGGAGTAATGACCCGTTTGTCACCTTCTGTTACCATGAGCTGCTCTCCTACAAAAACCTCTGGGGCTTGAGTGTCAACAGGAAGAATGGTCACCAAGACTGAAACTCCTTGAACAACATTGCCCCTGACGTTCCACTTCTCAGACAGGTCAGACAAGGTAAGATTGAAGGTATCTACTTTGGGCAGAAGGCCTATTTCACCACCAGTGTGAGCATATACCACAACACCATCCAGCAGATCCCTCTGGGAAAATCTCTCTGCAGGTACTCCTTGGACCAGGATGTTTCCATGTTGAGGAGGATCCTCTACAATGAAAGTCAGCATTAGGTCATCTGTATCCTCATCTGTGCCCTGAATGACATTAGCAGTGATTTCTGCAGCACCATTCTCCAGCACATCCAGGTAGGAACCAAGAGTGCCTGGGGGCAACCGTAGTGTAGGAACCTCATCATCAACTGGGTGCACGTTCATTTTCAGTGTGATGGGCACAAAATGAACCCCATCACTCACATCAAGCCTACAGGTATCACTGTTGGTCTCAGCTCCACCGTGCACATACACCACCCTCCCTTGTCTGATATCATCCAGGCCAAAGACACCTCCTGGAATCAAACTGTATCCAGAAAGCTGCAACTGGCCATAACGGGGCGCCTGGGTCAGGATAAATCTGAGATGGGTAAGTTCAGTGTCCGTGTCACTGGCATTCAGCTCAGTTGGACTAAGGACATGGCTGCCTCCCTCAGGCAAAGTGAAGCCAGTATTAATGATTTCAGGAGGCTGATTATCCACAGGTTGCAGATAGATGGTGAAAGTCCCTTCAGCTGCATTGCCAGCTGCATCTTGCACTTGATACTGAAACTGAATCAAATGAGGAGCCACCCCCAGTTCTTCCTGTGGGGGACGGTATGAGATCTTGTGATGATTGATCTGGGCTTGGGTAAAGTGGGTAACTTCCACAGAGTGATCCTCAGTCAGCACTAGGGCTCCAAGGCGGGCTCCATATCCATCTGGCGGATGGTTAGTGTCAGTGTCAGTGGGGGGCTGAGTTACTGTGTAGCGGAGTTCACGATCCCCTGAATCCTGATCTGTGTAACACAAGTGCTTCCTCCGCAGGGGGGTCACCTGCTGCTCTGCAACTATTAAGTGCAGGCTGCTGCTGCTATGCAGTTCAGGGGCTAATCTGTCTACAGGTTGAACCCGGATCACAAATGTCTGTGGTCCAGAGCGGTTGGGTGGGTCATTGTCATCCTGGACTCTAAATACAAACTGGTCCAATACAACCCCAGGGCCAGGGCTGTGAGGCCCCAAGTGGTGGTAATAGAGACGCCCTTCAGTAATGTCCTGCTGCAGCCACTCTCTCACTGTCTTTTCATAGATTACAGAGCTCCCCCCTAAACCTGGCACCCTCCTCCAAGAAAATCCCTCATCTTCTTCCTCCTCTTCCCAGCCAGGAGGCGGTTGTGCTTGACGGAGGAGAAGCTGCCCTGCAGTGGGGCCAGACTCCACTGTGAAGAGCAGGATGGCATCCTGAGAGTCAATGTCAGTGGCACTAAGAGCACGGGCGGTGATGGGCATTGTTTCACCCTCAGCCATGGCCAGCCCTGTGTTAGCATTGAGTAGGGGTGGCTGGTCATCAGTGGGCACCAGGGTAATAGGGAAAAGGAACTCAACACGATGGCGAGATCCACCATCCTCCAGCCGCAGCACCAAGTTGTCATTGAGTGGAGACTCGCTGCCGTCATGCTGGTAAATGACGTGGCCTGCTGCCAACTCAGCCACTGTGAAGTGCTTACGAGGGGCTGCAGGTGCTGCAGTGTCCTCCAGGAGAGTGAGGTGGCCATGCCTCAGCCCTGCCACCACACTCACCTGCACCTGCTCAAGGTCATCCTCATCACTGATCACCAAATTGGGGTTTGGACCAGGGCCTGAAAGAGGCCGTGACTGCCCCTCATAGAGCACAAGGCCAGTGTTGCGGGTCACCACAGGTGCCAGGGTGTTCATGGGCTTCACCACAATCACAAAGGTGAAGGGCTCTGAGGCAGCACCCTCTGGGTCCAATACCTCCAGCTCAAGCTCAAAGAGCCGTTCCTGATCTGAGTCCTCCATGGGGGGCTGGTAGGCAATGCGTAGCTCCCTCACATCTCTCTGACTGAAAGAAAAAACTGGCAGGCTCCTGTCATCTGTGCTGACCATGTGGCCCTGGCCAGGGCCAAAGGGAGAGGTGATGTTGAAGATCAACAGGTCTGGTGGTGACTCAGCATCCTCAGCTGCCAGCATGTCAGGTGTGAGTGCAGTGAGGACAAACTGGTCAACCTCCATCATGAGCATGGCAAAGAAGCTGGGTTTGGGGGCCACATTCTCAGTCCCGGCCTGGATCCGCACCAGCACCTGGAAGTACTCACGCTTCAGCAGTGCCCCACCACCTGCCGCCTCCCGCAGCTCTGCCACCAGCGGCACCAGGTCACGGTTGGGAGAGCCGCCAGCTGCCGTGTGGAAGTAACGCAGTCCCAGGCGCAGGAACTCCTCGCAGTCCCACATCGAGGCGGGAACGGGGCCGCCCGCCGCCGGTTCCTCACCCGCGGCGGCCGCCTCCGGCAAAACCTCCGCCTGGGGGTAGTTGAGGATCTCTCCGTAGCGGGGCAGCCCGGCCAGCGGCGGCAGCAGGCCCACCCGGCAGCGCTGCCGGCCCGGCTCGAAGGCGAACTCCAGGCTGCGGGCGTCCAGCGGGTTGCTGGTGCCCCGCAGGCGCTCCACGATGAGGGGCAGGTTGCGGGTGACGATCTCCAGCTGGGTGAAGAGCACCTCCACCTCCAGCACCAGGGGCAGCACCAGGGCGCGGCTCGGCGAGTCGTAGCGCAACTGCAGGCGGACGCGGTCCCGCGGAGGGCTGCGGCCGCCCAGGTGGGAGTACTGTACCTCACGGGCCCCGAAGTCGCAGGGGAAGCGCCGGGGGCTCAGCCGGCCCGGGCGCTGCCACAGCGGGTCCTCGTCCAGCACGGTGAGGTGGCACCGGTCACCTGGCTGCACCTGCAGCACCAGGTCCCGCGTGGGGTCCAGCCAGGCAGAACGGCCCAGGGGCACCCGCAGCCCGCGGTTGGCGACCACGACGGGGTCCGCCTCCGGCGCCCAGGGCAAGGCGACTGCGGCACTGCCTGGCGGCGGCTCCGACAACCCGACCCAGACGCAGATGGTCAGCAGCAGCAAGCCGGCCAGCAGCCGCCGCAGCGCGGCGGGGAGAGCCTGCACCATTGTTGTGGGCACAGCGAACCGCTGGGAGCTCCCAAAGGTGCCGAGTCGCAGCCCCACTCCCGCCACCGGCGCGGCCAGTCCACAGGTACTCCCGTCACGCACACGCGGCCCTCTGAGTAGAGCGCGCTCCGCTCCGGAGGGGAGCTCCGCGAGCTGCGAAGACCCGCCCTGCGCCTACAAGCTGCCAGTAGGCAGCCGCGGGGGGCGAGCCCGCCAGACGCGATTGGACAGAACTGCTTGCCAATCTTGCAAGCTACAGCGAGACAGCCTCTTCGTCTCCAGCGTGGCCCTCAGCAGGTTGCTGAGGAGAGGGTGGTAGGGGGACCGGGGGAGAGCGCTGGGTGTGCGGGAGTGGGGAGAAAGGGGAAGCGGGAGGCGCGATCGCTTTGCCGGCAGCCACCGCGGGCGCCGTGCCTTGAGGAGGGCGGTACTGCTTGCCCGCAGCGGAGAAGCACACCTCTGCCGAAAGCGGGAGCGCTCCGCCGCCGCCCACCTCTGCACCGAAGCTCCCCGCTCTCGCTTTAAATCTTGGCGCCCTGGGGCAGAACTAGAGTGGCTCGGGCTCCCTTTCCCTTCAGGGGACAGGAGCACGGGGCGGTGGCAGCGGGTTGACGCACCCGGTCCCCTTCAGTTAGAGCGGGGTTGTCCGACAGCCGAGGCGGGTTAACGGGGACGGAGGAAAGTGCCCGAGCGCAACCGGGGGCGGTCACGCAATGAGAAGGGGCTGACGCCGGATCGGCGGGCTGCTTCCGGGTGACGGGGAGAGACCCGGCTGCCGGCACCTCCTGCCTTTGAGCCAGCAAGAAAGGGGATAAATAGCTCCGGGGCAAGACACCCTAGTTAGTACCCAGCTCTATTCCTCTAACGTGAGTAGTCGCAGCGGTGAGTGAATAAAAGCCTCACAGCATGTCTGCCGCCTTCTGTCTGCAGTTAAAAGCGTACTAACAGCTTAAGTTTCCGGGAGTTAATTGCCTTTTAGAGTTCCTAATGGCAGGCTCTTTTTATTCGTCTTCTCTCACAACTGCTAATATTCTTTCTTGTTAGAATCATAGAATAATTAGGGTTGGAAAGGACCTTAAGATCATCTAGTCCCAACCCCCCTGCCATGGGCAGGGACACCCCAACTTTCTCAGCCTGTCTTCATATGGGAGGTGCTTCAGTCCCCTGATCATCCTCATGGACTTGTTCCAACAGTTCTATGTCCTGGTTTTTTTTTATTAATTTTTTTTTTATTATTATTTGTTTTAGTTATTTTATAATTATAACATCCTTTATGTATAACATCCAACATGTTATAATTTATAACAAGGATGTTATGTGGGACAGTATCAAATGCTTTGCAGGTAGATGACATCAACTGCTCTACCCCTGTCCATCAGTTCTGTAGCCCCATCATAGAAGGCCACCAAATTGGTCAGGCAGGATTTCCCCTTAGTGAAGCCATGCTGGCTGTCACCAAGCACCTTGTTGTTTTTCATGTGCCTTAGCATGCCTTCCAGGAGAATCTGCTCCAAGATTTTGCTATTTCAAAGATTATTTTAAAAGAAGGTATCACAAATTTACGCAGTCATTTCCAAACAGCCTTGGGTCATCTTTGAGTATGCTCCTTCTCAGTATTTTTTGCTTTTCTATTGTTAGGAACCTGTTTAAAGCAGGTTGTGGATCACATTTCATTACCAAAAAAAAATTAATAAATAAATAAATAAAAATAATTAATAAAAAAAAAAGGACATAGAACTGTTGGAACAAGTCCACGAGGATGATCAGGGGACTGGAGCACCTCCCGTATGAAGACAGGCTGATGAAGTTGGGGCTGTTCAGCCTGGAGAAGAGAAGGCTGCGTGGAGACCTCAGAGCAGCCTTCCAGTATCTGAAGGGGGCCTATAGGGATGCTGAAGAGGGACTCTTCATTAGAGACTGTAGTGATAGGACAAGGGGTAACAGGTTAAAACTTAAACAGGGGAAGTTTAGATTGGATATAAGGAAGAAATTCTTTCCTGTTAGGGTGGTGAGGCACTGGAGTAGGTTGCCCAGGGAGGTTGTGAATGCTCCATCCCTGGCAGTGTTCAAGGCCAGGTTGGACGAGGCCTTGAGTGATATGGTTTAGCATAAGGTGTCCCTGCCCATGGCAGGGGGGCTTGGAACTAGATGATCTTAAGGTCCTTTCCAACCCTAATTATTCTGTGATTCTGTGAAATTGTCCTTTGGTGGTAGAGTAACATTATGGCATGTGATCTTGTTTCCTGTATGGAAATCCCAAATTCGCTATTTTAGGTGTGGGCACAATCAACCACATTTATGTATAAGTATTCATTCCAACGAATAATTCAGCTTGGTTCAGAGGAGGGGAATGTTGGTGGACATCTATTCCACAACACTGGATTATTGTAATTTAAGACTTACTTTTCTGTTCTGTTATTCACTTACCCGTGTGCTCCAGAGTTCAAGGATTCCAGGTGAGAGAAAAAGAGAGACAAATAGAAAACTCTCAACTAGTTTATTAATATAGGAAAATATAGAGAATTTAACAGATACAGTAAAGGATATTTCCGAAGAGTGTATACCTTACCAACCCCAAGGACCCTGTGAAGACTATCAGGAAACCAGCTCTGAGGATCATCATCGCAGTGTGAGGAGGCAGGCTCTACTGTGGCGGGTGTCCCTGCAGAGGCAACGTTGACCTGGATGGTATGAAGTTCTGCATTCTCACATCGCATGAGGCTTGGACTTTTATACTGACAAAAATGCACACTCATTCTGACGCAGGAGGCCATCTTACATCGGAAGAAGTGGCCAACAATACCTAGAAAGGTCTCCAAGGATCGAGACTTTTCCGGGAAATTCTAAAGCGGAACTCTCTGGGTAGGAGCCAAAGCAGGACCTTCTGGGGAGCAGCCAAAGCAGGACTCTCCGGGGAGGAGCTAAATGGGGAGCCACCAGGGACCTTTACCTCACGTGTTAGGCTCGCCTACACACTGTGGAAAACTGCAGAAAGCTATTTTGTTAAACATGTCTATACTGAATTACCAAGTTGGATGCTGCTGCAGGAGGTAGTGATTCTATTAGTTAGATACCTTGTAACACTAGTACCATTTCTCCACCCTTATGAGGCATTCACCCCAGATTTCAGTAAGTTAATATCTTATTTCTAAGCATCTAATGAAGATAATTCAGTGGAAAATATTGAGTCCCAGGACCAAGGAACCCCCATAGTTTCAAAAAATGGTGTTAGTATCTCTTGTCAGAGGTGACAATATTAAGGATAGAGTGACTGGAATTGCCCAGATATAATGGTCTAATGTCAAGTCCTGGGTTCTGTTTTAAAACAAGTAAATAAATAGTAATAATAACCCAAATTAAAAAAAAAAACCAAAACCAAAACAACAACAAAAAAACCCATGACAACAAAAAAGGAAAAAAAAACACAAAAGAAACCCCAAAATCCCCCCCCCCCCCAAAAAAAAAAAAAACAAAAACAAAACCAACGAGCCAACCAACCAAAATGGAAAAAACAACCAAAACCAAGTGATCCAGCACAGAGATTAGAAGGTACCATTGGGGTGACTCATAATTTAACTTATTAAAGGAACATATACAATTTAAGCTTGATTCCAAAATAGGACAAATCTTCATATTTATTCACTTCAGGGGAGAAAATCTTTCTTTTTTTCAGAATAAACTCCATTTTGCGGAGTTTGACACTCAAACCATGTGTGCACATGCAAATATCCGTGTGTGTAGAGAGACTTGGTGAAAAAGGGTAACGAATCTGTTACACATCATATCTGCTTTTTTAATTTGTTGTTCTAACAGAAAAAAAAAGATTGTTATATTCTTGGACTGTTAGAGATAGCAGGTAAACATGTACTTTTAAAATATTTTGTTCTTAATGATGATGTGTTTTGAACCACGTTCGTAACAGAGCAATCTCTTCTCTGTTAAAGTCAGTCCAATATTTATTGTGATGTCTATCAAGAGATCATACCTGGGACATCTCTTCAACTGGTAAAGAGAGTTGTAGAAATCTGGAAGGAATAGTTTTTGAAATAACTGTTGAAAGCAAATGAAGCCATGTATTTGAACAAATAAATTACTGAGATATTTAGCTTCTTAACTGGAAGAAAAAAAGATCAAGAGTATAGTATTGAAGGGATGGGTTTGACAGAACAGAAATGTCTTGTTTTCGGTAGATACATGGTCAGGTTGTTTGATCTCTGTTATCACCATCATCAATTAATAAATCTCCAGGTACAAACAGCAGAAGTCCTCTATTTTTGGCAGTTGCTGTCTTATCAAACAAGTCAATGAGCTCTTGTGCCACACTCCAAGTCCAAAGTGCAAGACGTAGGGTTTTTTTCTTTTCACAGCACAGCATAAAATTAAAAATGCTCCAGATTATAAAGCTGATAAGATTTTTTATCAAATTTTCCTTGAGTTTCTGACTGGTTGGCTTGTGCCAATGTTTGTGTTCAGATTGCAATTGCAGAAAATTCATCTTGGCTAAATTCTGATTTAGAGACATAGCTGTAAATCCAGAGCGTTTTTCTACCAATTGTCTCTGAATTCAATGTAACAAATATGAATTGGGCCCAATAAGGAGTCCATTGATCTTTTAAAATAAATTTTTGGTGAATAAAGTAACTGGTATTTGACGTGGGGACAAACAGAGTCTGCATATCCTTGTAGCTCTGCTGTACTACTACTATATATTTCTGAGTCTAAACAGAAAGAGAAATCTTTAAAACAAAGAAGACCTGCTCATATAATAAAGTATTAATAAATGTGTGCTTATGGAAATCTAGTGATGAATTTTTCTTCTGAAATAAATTACCTGTGATTTTCATCATGATAAATCTGTATTGTAAGACATTTGTTTATTTAGAAATGACTTCAAATTTATTCTTATTTTAAATGCAACCCTTTCTGAGGGCATCTGCCTTCTGCTTTTGATGATGGATCACAGATTTGTATTACTTATTGACACTCACACAACTCAGTTTCCTTGTAAGTCAAGCAGAAGTTTACTTTTCACCAAGCATAGA